ACATATCATGTAGAAATAAAATCAAAAGGCAGGCAGGAGGTAACCTAACTGAAATTGAGTATTGCAGAAGTTACTTCTGCAGTGTCAACTATTTTCTGCATACAGTGGAAAACGAAAACCCAACAGCTCATACTGCTGTTGTTTGGCAAGTTTGGTGGGTTTTTTCCCTCTGGCAGCACTCTGTTCTCATCAGGGCTCACACAAAGGTAGCTGGATAGTTGGTTCAAGGATTCAAATTAAGTTTGGAGAGGGGGCAAGTGCTATGGAGAGGTGCAGGGGATACTTTATGGCAATAGTTCCATAGAGCTCCCCCTGCAGTACAAGTACAGTTGCTTGGAGCATCAAGGGCAAGGCACGTGGGACATGGAAAAGTGGGGAAAAAGCCACTGATCCAAAGATCCATTACTGAAGCTGGATGTACCAGAAGACTAAATATTTGTTGAAATGCTTCCCCGGGAATTCAGGGTGTTAAACGTTTTTGCACTTCTTGGGTTTAATGAGGCACTTGAAACAGCCTTGCCTGATGTTTTTGGAAGCAAGCTGGGACTACCTGAAGCTGCCTATGCAACTTGTGAGGGAACTGGATTGGAATGAAATCTGGGTGTCAGACTAGGAGGTTGAGTTGAGCAGGGTTGTTGGGTGGGATGGGAAGGGAGAAAATCAGTGTTTGACACGATTGAGTATTTTCAGTGATTTGAAAAGGAACAGTCTGCATGTTTATTAAGCTCCAGGTTAGTAGGCTGGGGGCAGGACAGGACTGGGACTCAGAATGTTTGGAGAAACCAGCAAACATGGAATAAAATGAAAGAAAAAGGGAGAATGTCTACATTTTGTAATGCATAGTCAGTGGCTTGAATTGAGGATGAAGAGTGGTTGGCTTGGTACCAGCTCTGCAGAAGAGGATTGGAGACCTTCAGTGGTTTGTGAGACAAGCACAAGTGAACGTTGTTTGTTTTATGTACACAAACAAGGCAAACTGGCTGGGACATGTGACTGAGAAGTGTTATTGAATAATCATTTGACTATATAACAGTCAATAACGCCTAGGCTGGAATATGTACCCAGTTCTGGACACTAGGCTTCAAAAAAATGCAGCTTAAATGGAAGGAGTCCAAAAGAGACTAAACAAGCAAAGGTCTGGATAATGTTATCTGCAAGGAAAGGTTGAAGCAACTGCCTTTGGTCATTTTATATACCAGAAGACTGTAGGAGAACCAAAGTTTTCCAAAGGGATAGATGCAAAAAGGAAGAAAATAAATTGCTCTCTGTAATGTTTGCAGATAAGGTGAGGAACAAAGAGTATAAATTGTATGAAGGGAAATAGAAGTTAGACATTCAGAAAGGTTTTTAAATAGTAAAAACATTTGTGTACTGGGATAATTTCTTTGCAATAATATTAAATTTTTTTATGAGAGGTCTCCAAGAATAGGTTAGACAAACTACTGTAAGGAATAGTTTAGTGTATTTTATGCAGGCTGAGCAGTCAGAAAGCATCAGGTGATAGGAGTTTCCTCATCCCTAACCCTCTGTGGTTATAGCTGATGCTTCAGGTCCTAAGGGCTGTGGACAGAGTGGGAATGCTGCCCCACACCCCCCTGATTCACACAGGTTCTGCTCCACCAGCTCAGCCACTCATTCACACACAGTGCCAGAACGAGCCACCACAGCTGATACGGCTGAGAACAGTAGAGCTTTATCACTATGGGTAATTTTGGGTGGAATGGATAAAGCAGCACTCCGGTGAGCGAGCCAGATGGGTTATGAGGCACAGAAACAGTTTTGCAGGGATCAGTGCTAAGTGGCTGGGAAAGGCAGTGGTAGGAGCTGGAAAAGAGGCTTATCTGCACTGCGGGTCTCCTTTAGAGCTCACCCAGATTATTGTAATATCACCTTATTGCTTCGGAGTTCTTCATAGGATTATATTTTTCCTTTTTTTTTATTTGCTGCAGTAAAGTTAACAGGGTTTCTCCACAGCTCTGGGCTAAGCAGTCATTTCAAAGCCAAAAAAATGTGCAAGGATTAGTTAATTTCAAGTGGAGTATGATTTTACAATAGACACCCTATTCTGACATATCAACTTCATCCTAGATTGCTGAGGGAAGCACTGAAGGATTTGTGCCCTCTTGACATTTTCAGAGGTCAAATATGAAGTCCTCTGTCATGTTGCCAGCCCAGACAGCTACAACCCAGTGCACGTTTCCAGAGACTAGTCCAGAGAGACTGAAATTGTTCTTTACAAGATTATTTCTGTAGCAGTTCTGCATTACTTACTATTAAATGCATATGTGTTTTTCTTTTTTCCTTCTTAGCTACTCTTTTCTTGCCTTGTTCTTCTGTATGCAATAGTTTTTTCCTGGACTACCTGTGACACCAGCTGAACTCCTGCAGTTGACTTTTCTGACCATTAGCTGTGGTCAGGGAAATGTCACTTAAAGTTCATCTGCTGCCTCATACTGACAGCAGAGGTAGGCAGGAAGGGGAGAGTGAAGAATTACTGCTGTGTCTGCACATTCTGGTAGAGAGCTTTTGAAGACTCATGATGAATCCTGCTTTGCTTTTCTCCAGGGTAGATGTTTATGCAGATTTAAATGTTGCTTGTTATCTTTGCCCAAGTGGACCTGAGCTTTTATTTCACTTACCTGTGAGATGCTCACAATGAAAGGAAAGCACGTTCAGGTTCAAGCATGTGTGCATTCACAAGCAGCTCACTCGACTTGAGAACAGTATTGGTTGTTCCTTGCTCTTCATTGAAGTGCCATGGTCAGACTGCCCAGGACACCTCATTTCAGGCATCAGCTGAGGCCTCATTGGTGCCTTGGCTAGATGGGGAAGTTTTTTGCATTATTTTTGTAGTTATTGCAATACAATATCCCAACCATATCTCTTTGGTTTATGTCAAAGTGTGTTTCACACCTTGTGTAACTTTCTCTGGTGATTTCTCTCAGTAACAAGATTTATGCAACTAATATGAGCAGGAACTATTTGCCCCATTATTGCAGAAGTCTGTATACTCACTGTGGTTTTCAGTCATTGTTAATTTATTCTACAAATTACTCTTCATTCACTTCTGTAGTCCAGATCCTATCTATGATGCCTGGCATGTTTGGAATTCCTGACATGTGGACTGAATTCTACTTCTTACCCCATTGATGTGAACCTAGAGATGATGCCTTTCCCTGGTCTTAAAAATTGAGAGCCAGACATGGTTAAGGGATAAGGGGTTTTACCTCCTATTTTAATAAGGATCCTTATGGTGCACCACTTGGCCAAGGTGGGATGTGCTGCAATGCACCCCCATGATAGGTCACCTGTACAATTTACAGACCTTACAAATTAGCATATCTAACAAGGATGCCCCAATGAATGGGAGGCCTGGATGAATGGTGTGATATTCCCTCATCTGTGGAATTTCCCCCTGGATGTGCCAAATCTCTAGTTTACAAGCTGTGTTCTAGAGGGGCCTTGGTTTCCCAAGATAGTGTAGCGTTTTCCTACCTCCTACTACGAGGCCTTTAGGATGTTTGGTCTCCTGGCCTAACAGAATACCAGGACTATGGTAAATTATCAGACTCAAAGAATTACAAATATGCATGCTAAGAATACTGAGGATACATAAAAGTTATATAAAAGGTATATAAAAGAAAAGGCAAAAAATCATCTTGGCATCAGAGGGACTACCTTTCACAGAAGGTGTCTTAACACTTTCTGTGGCTACTCCTTTTCATTCTGTAGGAAAGGGCAGGGAAGGCTCCACATGCATTAGAAATAGTTTCTTACATTGCATTTATGCAGGGGCTTTTATTTCTTAAGTCTTTTGAGACTTTATTATGAACTTATATTTGAGAAATACTTAGTCACTGGTCTTAAGTGAAAAATAATTTGAGCAGACTATTTTTCACAGGACCTAGATGCAACACTTTGGAGTTACTAACTCTATGAGCTTAGTTTTCTGTCTTCAAAAGACTTGCAACTTACCTTTAAAGCTGAAGTTTTTTAACTTTTCTGTTTAGCTGGATGGTAAGTCAATTTAAGTTACGAGAATTTCAGAAATATAAAAAAAAATTATTATACTCCTTTCAGGTGCTTGTTAATACAAACCACAGTGTGGTCATTTTTTAAGAAAACAAGCTACTTGCAGCTTCAGGGAAACTGTGAGGAGCTACTGACACCATCATTACCCTCCCTCTCTGGTTTTACTGTGGGACGTGAGCTTTGTGTGCTCCAGAGGAGCCAGGCAGAGTGAGAGATTCCTCCAGGGTTAGTGTGGTCCTGGACAGCAGAGGATCAGTTTCTTAAAACCTGATCCATTTTGGCTCTGGTTTTAAGCAGGGTCCGAGGGGGCGAGAAGGCCTTTTCTGTGGAGAGCTGAAGTTAATTCCTCAAGCTGTGGTTTTCTGTCAATAGACAGATGTACTTTTCTCTCCAAGTGTCCCTAATTTCTCTTACAGGGAGCAGTGTATCTGTCCAGTGGACCTGCAGGATTTTCAACCAGTCCTTGCACGTGTACAAAACACAGGTGCAGATTCAGGAAAGACTTGCAGCTTCCTTTGACATTAAAAGATAGTAAAGGGGATTTGCAGTTCATTAGCATTGTCCCCCATCATTCCAACCATTTGACCTCTTCAGTGTTTCAGAGCCATTCCCATAAGGGTCCTGGATATCTTACTGTGTCTTAAAGCTTGTAAAAGGCTTTCTTGGGAGGCTGGTTTTGAATCATATTCTTGGACCCAACTTTGGGAACAGTGACTAGTTTGACTTGAAGTGTACCTCTATTTGACTCCAGTGGCCCACAAAAATTTCAGATCAGTTCCTGTGTCCCTGTGCTGTCAGATGGAGTATGGCAATTCCCACTGCTTTGTACCAGCTGGAGATAAGCCTCACTGTGTTGGAAGATGCAGGAGGCAGTTGCTGTGGTGTTGTTAACTTGGCCTGAAGGGTTGTGCAGTGAGAGAACTTCCATCATTATAATTCATTTCTCTAAATGCTTTTCCTCTCCACAGCTCTGAAAAGTCCAGCTGCATTTCATGAACAAAGAAAGAGTTTGGAGCGGGCCAGGGTAAGATGCAATATAATCTTCAGTGTTTTGGGAAAGTTTTGGAAAAGTCAGGAATGGTATGTCTTGTGTTTTGGGCATCCTGTAGCTGTTAATGACATGCAGAAGGGAATTGTTCATATTCTGGATGTAATACAGCTTTCTGTATTCAGAAATGCATTGGATTGGGTATTCTATAGCTTGCACGTGGTGCTGGTTAACCCTCAGTGAACTAATTGGGCCTAAAACCCATTGAATATGGTGCCTGGATTTTCCCTAGAGTCATCTTTCGGGAAGTGACTGATGCTCTTCTTCCCCACTGTCCACACACTTGGCATTTTTATTTTTATGGTGTTTGTTTTGCCCTTAAATGCTGTTAAATTATCATGTGGAGCTCAGTTCCACCATTGAGGAAAGTTTGTCTGTTACCTGCACGTGCAGTTTTTACCTAGGAGACTAGAAAAATGGAAAATTGAATAGAGAGGATCCCCCTAAAATCTTGTGACACTGAAATCACAGACTTCTGGCTCTACAGAAAGAGGAAGCCAGGCATCATACTTCATGTGCCACTTTTTCTAACTGGGGAGTTTCTTGATAATTTCTGTTCCTCAGAAGGCCTCTGGGGATATTTTTTTCTGATTAGCCTACAGTGGAATGTAACTTGTTATGACTAAGTTTTGTTTGAAAAGTGAAAGCAACATAAGTAAAAAAATAACAGCTGTGATGAAGACCTGAAAGGGAGGCCCTTTAAACTGTGGAGAGATTGCAGTGGGGAACTTTGCATTAAGACAAATGACCAAAGGGCTTTTGCTTATTTCTCTTTTTTTCCTAAAACCTTATTAAGTTAATATTTTTATGTGGGCAATTGAACAATTATGGTGCAGTTTTCTGACTGACTTTAATACGTATATTCTCCAAAGGCCCATCCTGATATCCAGTATTTACTGGTCTATTACCTGCTGCTTCCAGATTCCCATTCCTTAGCAGTGTAAACAGTAACATGTTCAGCCTGTCAGGGTCATCTCTGTACATTGCTCCACGGCACTTTCTCCAAAGGCAGAGCTAAAAGCACCTCTGGAACTGAAATAAACCTTGTCACAGCATTTAGATTCTGCCTCCCAAGGGACTGCATGGGGCTTTTAGCTTAACAAATAACATATTCAATTTAATAAAATTAAAGATCCCCAAATCATAAGTCAGCCCTGAATGCCAGCAGTACATGAAAATATTTTCTGTGAACAATGAAACCAGTGCATTTATCTTTAACATAAAAATAAATGTCATGGATAGTTACCCTGACACAAGTTAGTGGTGATGCATACAATGGGAAAAGAAGACTTCAGCTCCTGAGGAAGTCCTTCCCAGTTTTTGTTCTGTGGGGTAGCATAGCACAAGTGACTGAGGTAATTACAAAGAAGGTCATCTTTAGAGTAAGCTCATTCTGGGTGCTCTGGGACAGGAGATAGGTCTCTTCTCCATTTTGTGCTTATTTAGATCTTAGTAACAGCTAAAGATGGTTGTTTTTCATTGTGCTGTTGAAGATTACCTCACTCCTGTCTGATCGGCTGAAAGTGGTTCTTGCTTGTCTATTTTTGCTACAGACAGAGGACTATCTGAAACGCAAGATCCGGTCCCGGCCAGAGAGATCAGAGCTGGTTAGGATGCACATTCTGGAAGGTATGGCAAGTGCTGAACATGAAAACATCAACAATAAACTGTATTGTAACTACCTTTTTCACAGCTTTCTGTTTTGCCTCTGACTTCCAAAGCTTCCTTCTGGTTGGGAGCGGGCAGAAGATCATGCCTGTTTCATGATTCCTTGGGAGGAATTCAACTCTGCTTGCTCGGAGATTATTCTCAGAAAAATCCATTGTGTGAATTCAAATTGTGCAGTTTTGTGTAGCTGAGCAACAAGGAAATAGAATGACCATGGATTGCTCTTCTGCTAAGGGAAGACAGTGTAAAATGTCCAAGAGGGAGTGAGGCAGATTGATCTGAGTAGTGATGAACCTCAGCTTCAGAGAGGGAGTGCTGTGCTGCTGCTGAGCACCAAATTTGGGGCACAACCAGGGGGAAAAGATGAACGAGAATTGGGTGACATCAGTTTGAGAACAGTGAATTTGTCACAAGGGCTACTGTAGTTATCTCTATAACCTAAATACACATAATGTGTCATATCTTTGTAGTGTGTAGTTCTCTGTTGTTATCTATCAGCTGGTTTTCTGTACAGTTACCTTTCTGAATAGAATTAAAATACTGCTGAAGGGCATGGGTTGACCATTGTTGGATTGATGCCATTTTATTTACTTTCCCCCAAACAGAGACCTCAGCTGAACCCTCCTTGCAGGCTAAGCAGCTGAAGCTGAAGAGAGCCAGACTGGCAGATGACCTCAATGAGAAGATAGCGCAGAGGCCAGGGCCCATGGAGCTGGTGGAGAAGAACATCTTGCCTGTGGAATCAAGCCTGAAGGAAGCTATTATTGGTAAGGTCAGAGGAGGATCTTTGTGGAGGGCATTTCCCACATGTGGCTGTGATTACCTATCAACCTGCATGTCTGAGAGAGTGCATGGCTGGTCTCATTTTCCTGGCCCAGGATCACAGGCTTTCAGCCCAAGGATTCGGAAAAGCAGATCTCCCTCTGGTCCAGATAATACTATGGAGTCATTAAATTATAGGGATGTAGACATTCCAGAATAGTATGAAAGCAGTTGTATATCCTAAAGACTTTAAAGACTGTTGAAGACTGTATTCCCTAGATTGTCTCCTTAAAATCCCTCTCTCAGTATAACGTCAACAATGTTGGCCAGGGGGAACCCACTGACTTAGATCAGGAGAGGAGACAGAACATAAACAGGTGTGATGAAACAAAAGATGTCTGTGAACTCAAAAACTTCAGAGGATTCAACCCCTTTAAAAATAAACCAGAACAGATGTAATTCATGCCAGTGCCATTCCAAGGGCTGAAAGGAATGCTGAGGAATTGCCTTCCCACTGCCTCAGCAGTGCTCTTTCCTGTCTCCCCAGACTGAGCAGTCTGTGTGCCTGTGGTTATTCATCCTCTCAAACATGCACAGCTACTGTAAAGACAAATGGGACACAACTGTGAGCAAGATGGAATACTTTCCATAAAAAAGCAGAAGGACAGTGTTGTGAGAGAGCCTGGCTTCACTGGTGAACACGAGGTAGTTGAGGAGGGGTGAACTTGTGAACTGATGCATAGGAGATGTGGCTTCCTTCTGACTGAGAAGTGCATCTCTGGATTCCTCTTGATTTTTTGGTGAGGTGCAAATTAATGCGAGAAAATGTAGTCTGAAAAAGCTTTGGTATATTACAAGTGTACACTCATGTGAATTTATCTACTGTGCATGTAGATGGACAGAAATGCTAATAGCAGCCAGGGCCACCACTTAATCCATAGCCCCTCTTGTTTGTAAGACTAGAGGACAATTTGGGATTCTGTCTTTCAAGACAGAAGAATCCAAGAGAGAGTCTACCTTCCACCATACAGGATGAACACCAAAAAAGCCATGACTCAACCTTACACTCTCTAATCTTCTTCTTTGGTGCCAGATAATGAAATAAACCATACCACAGAGCTGGATTTGGACAGATCTGAGTATCTCTTACACTCATTGATCTTGCCTGCCTAGGGAGCAAGGGAAATGGTTCACCCCAGTCCACATCATTTTATTGTACTGATAGTGAGTGTAAACACTTAAACCTAATCCAGCTGGAACTCTGTTCTCTCATTTTTAGCTGGTGCTTTAAGCACAACTCTCCCCATGCCATCATTGTCTTTGTGAAATATCTACTGTCAAGTGAAGTCCTTTCTTACTCCACTTTACAGACCACAGTTGATGTTTGTGTTTTTAGTTGGACAGGTGAACTATCCAAAGGTTGCAGACAATTCCTCCTTTGATGAGGACAGCAGTGATGCCCTCTCCCCAGAACAGCCAGCCAGCCATGAGTCCCAAGGCTCTGTCCCATCGCCGATGGACTCCCGGATTTGTGAGCCTCTCCCTAGCACCACTGGTACATCACTAGCTCAGGTGAGAATGTGGAGGCCTCCTGCAGTGCCCTGGAGCTTCACACTGATTTGTGGCAGAGGAGCCTAGAAAGTGAGACTAAGGCTTGCCTAAGAGGTATAGTCTGTGAGATTTCACAAGGAGCCTTAGCTCCATGTGGTGTCAGTGATGTCCTCCTCTGGTTATTCACAAACCCTCATGGTGATGCCTTGTGGGGAAGTGGGCAGCCATTGCTTGGTGGTACAACCTGTGTGTAAATGAGCCCAGCAGGAAATGCTGGGAGATACAGGTGTTGGATTTTGATTCCCTTTTTGTCCTAAGAAGTTATGCTGCTTCTCAGGGACAACTGAAGGAGTGGGTTAAGGGAGTCTGATAAAGAAGCCCATGCTCCATCCTTCTAAGTGGACACTTCCTGCACTCTGTTAAATTATTTCCCTCCTCCTGTGTGTATTCATGATGCCTTTTTCTGTCCCTGCAGGGTTCATCCCAGTTGCAGATTAGCACAGACTCCAGTGAAACTCCTTTCCTACCTGAGCAGCCACCTCCACCACTGCCACCTCCACCTCTTCTGCCCGCTAGTCTTACCAATGGAGTGGCTCTTACTGCTGCCAAGCCCCCACCAACACTCATTAAGGTACTACTTTGGCTGATGTCTTCATTGTTGTAGTCTGAAGGAAGATAAGGTTACTTTTAAGCAGGTTTGGAGTTGGAAGTATTAGATTAACAGATGCAAAGGAAGGAAACATTTCTCACTAGTGTCTTCCTCTGACACTAATTGTAACATATTTAATGGGGTTTTCTGTTCATTGTTGTGTTCACCTTCTATAAAACGGATGCTGAATGCAAAACGTTTTGAAACAATCAGTGTTATCTATAATTAGAGTCAATGAGTCTGCACTGGATGAGCAAATGATCTGGTGTGCTGGGAAGGGTGACCTGCATTATGGTGCAGCATAAGCTGGTGCCAGTGAGGTGTCTGATGTCTCAGAGAGGCATGGAAAGACCCTGAGGTGAACAAACTGGAGAATTTCAAAATTAAAATCCCAATGTGTGTTCTGGCTTACATGGGGTGTTACATTATATCAGTGTTTTCATTCTTACTTGCTTCCTCCTTTTCTTCTAAATAGCAAAGCCAGCCCAAGTCTGCTAGTGAGAAGTCTCAGCGCAGTAAAAAAGCCAAGGAGTTGAAGCCGAAAGTCAAGAAGCTTAAATATCATCAGTATATTCCCCCGGACCAAAAACAGGACAAGGGAGCTCCTCCCATGGATTCATCCTATGCCAAAATACTGCAGCAGCAGCAGCTCTTTCTCCAGCTTCAGATCCTCAACCAGCAGCAGCAGCACTACAACTATCAGACCATCCTGCCAGCCCCACCTAAGTACGAGTCCCCAGTGGCAGCTCTCTTAGCAAGCACTTACCAGCACTCTTACCAGAGATGTGTTCTGGGTGTGAGGGGTGGCCACTGGGTGTGACACACTCGGTTTTGTAGGTTCCAGAAGGCCTCAAAAAGAACCAGTGCAAGATGAGACAGACAAAAGCAGCTGAAGTGAGTTGGTTGGCACAGCAAGGGGCGTGGATACAGTTGAGAGCATTGGTGTGCTTCAGAGTCTAGGGCAGCACTAGTGATCCAGATGTTTCTGAATGTGTATGTTTGTGGACACTAAGGGCCTCTGGTGTCTTTCCACTGTGGTTTTGACGTCTGTGTTCTTTCTTTTCCCGCAGGCCTCCAGGAGAGCAGCAGAGTGGTGCCAGTGCCCCTGCTGTACGAAATCTCTCTGCCACAGTCAGCAGCACATCTTCAGTATCTTCTGGTTCCAGTGGTCTGATGAGACAAAACAGTAACGCTGCAGTGGGCAAGCCTGGCCCTCTCCCTGCCAACCTGGATGAGATGAAGGTAAATGTCCTGTGAAGCTGCACAGACCCTTTCTGCCATTGTCAGAAGGCAGTACTGGATGATGTTGCTGTCTCAGAGCAGGGCTGAAGTGGACTGACAGGAGTGAGTTAGTGATAGGAGCTGGGATTGCTACCCCACACTCTGTACCTGAGATGCAACTTCGTTGGCCGGAAGGAAGATCAGTTTAGACCTTTGTCTCATTGCTCTGGCGACTGTTCATAGTTGTTCAGTTAAAAGTTTATGGATGCTAAATCTAAACCACAGTGCCTGTACAAATTACAGGCCGCCTGGCTCCTCGGGCTGCCTGAGAAAATAGCCTGGGAAAAATATGAGAAGGAATTAAAACAATTCTCAGAGATACTAAACAGCCTTGCAGGTGTTGTTTTGCAGTCTTGTTTTCTCTTGCAGGAGAAGGCCAGGGGGGTGATGGGCCACCCTGACCAGTGATGGTGATGTAGCACTTTGTTAGCCAATGAGAGTTTCCTTTCTGTACTTTCCACGTATCTGTCTATAAGACAGGGCTGAAGCAATAAACTAGGAATTCTCCTGTTGTGACTCCTTGGAGAGTCCTGTGTCATTCTTTAAAGCCGTTCCCAATCGGAGCGACAAAAGTTCTCTTAACGTTGCCCTCTTTTTTCCCCCATATCAGGTAGCAGAGCTGAAGCAAGAACTGAAGTTGAGGGCCTTGCCTGTCTCGGGCACAAAGACGGATCTCATTGAGCGTCTCCGAGCTTACCAAGAGCAGGGATCTCATTGAGCGTCTCCGAGCTTACCAAGAGCAGAACGGTGCAGCTGGCCAAACAACCCCCACTCCCAAGCCCAGCACATCAGCCGTCCTCCCTAAAGCTGCTGAAGTGGTGGTGGCCTTCCCAACTGCCAGGCTGAGCACAGGGCCAGCCCTGGTCACCACTGGCATTGCACCAGCAGAAGTAGTTGTGGCCACAGTTACTGGTGGCGGCATGATGAAGTTTGAGAGCACAGGCTCAACTCCTCCTGTTTCTCCAACTCCTTCTGAGCGCTCGCAGATGAGTACAGGGGATGAAAACTCGGGCACTGGAGATACCTTTGGAGAGATGGTGACTTCACCTCTGACCCAGCTCACCTTGCAGACATCTCCAGTGCAGTTCCTGGTGAAGGAAGAAAGCTCCAAGTTTGCCTCCTGCAGCGTAAATGCGGCACCCAGGTCAGAGCGGTGTAATGCTGGTAACAGCAGGGATGCAGAAGTTAGGGACAAAGATCAGATGCTGCAGGAGAAGGATAAGCAGATCGAGGAGCTCACCCGCATGCTGAAACAGAAGCAGCAGCTGGTGGAAATGCTTAGGCTACAGCTGGAGCAGGAGAAGCGATCTCAGCAGTCACAGCCAGCTCCAGCAGCCACGGAAGAAGGAACAGCTGTCGCCTCCAGACCAGGAGCATGTGGCATCCAGGTCAAGAGTGAAGATGGTTTCCTGAGTTGCCAGTCTGCGAAGCAATCCAGTGGCCAAACAGACCAATGCAGCCCTGCACCAACCGCTAGCCAAATGGACACTTCGAATCCAAGCCCAGTGCCAAAGAAAGCCGTGACAGTGAAGCAGGAGGTGCCAGCCACGGAAGCAGAGCCGCCGTGCCAGTCCCACAGCCCGTGGCTTTTCCTTGGCCAGCAAGGGAGTGCCCTCATCAAGGGCACCCCTCCCCCCACCCTCATCACTGACTCCACAGGGACCCACATCGTCCTCACCGTGACCAAGCAGAGCGCCGAGAGGCAGGGCCTCTCTCCCCACTGGATGGCAGGGAGCAGCTGCCCACCCTCGCAGGTAGGCAAAGGTGTGAACCCATCACTGATATGGGCAGTTGGGTTCCTCTCTCCTAGTCCCACTCCAGTTACCATAGGATGAATTAACTGGGTGGAAATTGGCTGCAGTAAATCCTGAAAGGGCTGAGTTGCTCACTACAGTGGTTGGTAGATCGTGGCTTTGTAAAACAGAGTGGTGTAAGCAGATCTTCAGCAAAAAGACTGGAATTTGACAATGATGAGCTGCATACAGCAATGCACCATTGGTCTGTGCATCACAGGCTGCTCAGCATTCTTCCAAACACAGGGTTCTGCCTTTTGTCAGGCAGGACCTCGGGCTTGGAGGACAAGGGTTTGCTGCCACAGTTCACTAGTTTTTAAAAGAACAGCTATGCCCCTGTTTGTAAAATGAGCAGAGTGTATTTCACCTGTTGTCCTTAACTGTAGAGATCGTAGTTGGAGTGATAGATGGGTCATCTTATCTACCAAGAGCTGAAATCAGACCCTGGGAGCAGACTGTTTGCTTTTTGGCTGCTCTTTGTTTTAATGCGTGTCAGTATTTCAGTGTTAACAGAGTCTTTCATCAGAGATGATTTACTATTCCCCTGCTGGCATGAGCTCAGCACTTAACAGAAGTGTTCCGAGTGTTCCTTCCAGGAAGGGATAAATATGCCCAGGTTTGATGGCATAAGTCAATCCCCAGCACCTTCCATGACATCAAAGATAATTTTCATTCTGGTGATACATTTCTTGTACTTTCTGCAGAGCAAGTGGCAGTGTCTGCCATCAGTGACAGCCACTGAGCAGGCTGCATTTGCTGCAAAGCAGGTGAGATATCGGCAGCTGTCTAAGCATCAGCATCCAGTGTCAACCTTGAAACCACAGAGTATCTCACCTGAACTCCACTGCTGCTCCACAAGGGCACAGCTCCTGTGTCAGGTCTGGCAGTCCCTGAGGCATTTCATGGGTACCCCAAGGATTTAGGATGGTACTACCTCCTCTCTTAGGACTCTCAGTCTCATCCAATCTGATTTCTCTGCTCAGGGAAAGAGAAGGATTGAATTTCATAAAGAATAAAGAGTGGAGAAAAAAACAAACTCTAAAATCCTGTTAGAAACCTAAGCCACGTGTCCATGTCATTTCTGGGGAATAACCTGTTATGGATACCATTTTCTTTCCAGAGCATACAATCATCACCCGCTAAACCTTCCAGCCAACTGCCGTGTCAGGTACCTGCAAACACCCCTCAGCAGCCCACGCAGCAGCAGCCCAGAGGACCAAACCAATCTAAGGTAGCTCACTGCCTGCTCACTTTTCTCCCTTGGTTTTGTTTGCCTGCTGCCAGGTTTGTACCCACAGGCAGTGAGTACAAACATACCACATACCAGTGGGTGTTGTCTGTGGATTAAAAACAGCGAGGGGCTGGAGTGGGCAGCCTTGATTCACAGGGGTGTCCCAGATTCTTGAAGGAGTGCTGCTGAACAGAAAAGGTGGCTGCTGCATGGAGAAAAGGTGGTGTGACTGCTGCTGAAGGGACATGTGAGCTCAGAGGGGTAAAAGGGCAGTGACCTTTTAGTCTCTGGTACTGCTGAGCATGCTGTCATTTCCACTCCCCTGCCCTGAGCATGCCAGTTAATCACCACTTTGTGAAGTGCTGTACTGCTTCAGGAAAGAGAGCACCTCTGCCTTTAACCCTCTCCAGGTGCTGGCTGTAAAGAGGCTCTGCTGTACATCTCCTCCCTTTTCTAGCCTGCTTAGCTGTCTCTCTAACCTGTAATTTAGGTAAGATACAGAAAGATTATGAAGAGTTTTTAGAGCTTGGAGGATCATTTCTGAGTCAGTTCCTGGAAAGGGTATGAAGACAGAAGTACTTTCTAGTATATTTGGAATGAGATTTCTACTTTGCAAAGGGTCAGTGCCTTGGTTTGCTTTGAGACCTCGGAGAAAGTGCAGAAGGTAAATAAAGGCACCTTTTTCCTCAGAGTTCCTTAGCCTTTGTGCTGCAGAGGCCTCTGCACTGACTCTTCTAATCCTTTTGCCTTCCTTGGGGTCAGAAGCCAGGTCTGCAGCTGGCAGGGAAGCTGGCCTACATGATACTGTCTTTCTTAGCACTTCCAAACCTGCAGCCTTTTCTGTAAGCAGTCCCTGAAAATTAGTGCTTCTGGCAAAACCAGCCCACCCAGTGTGTCAAAAAAGGTACGCTCCCAGCACATCCCAGTGGCCTGTGGCATGGTTTCCAGCCCTTCTCAGCAGAGCTGGTCTGGGGTTGCTCCTCTGCCTGCGGGTCACAGGACAGATGAGCAGCTTTCCAGGGAAAACAGGATGGACAAGGGCACCAATACATACACGTGTTGGAAGTGGTATTCAGCTGCTGCCCAGGGTCCGCTGCTCCAGGGGAGCAAGTTTCCATGTGGGTCATGCACAGCTGCTGTAGAGGGGAAGGCCTGACCCTCATTTCTGCCGTTCTTATGGGCAGTTATGTGCTGATTCATCTGGTGAAGCTGAGTCATGAGCACCACTTCCTGCAACACTTGGGGTTTCCTTTGGAGCTCTGGTGCTGCTGACTGCTCTGGTGCTCTCTGCCCACCATCAGGCTGTGAAACTTGCTGCTAAGTGAAGCTGGCTTGTGACCCCAAAGCAGGCACTGCAGAGGGAGGCAGGTAGAAGGCAGGCCCTGGATATATTGCAGGGTAGGCTGAACACACAAGAGAAGTGCCCTTTCTCTCCAAAGTGCTGCAGGAATCCTCTGCTTGGACAGATGAGGCTCTGCCTGTCCAGGCAAAGTGAGGAGGTGGTTTGTGGTGTGGCTGCTTTAGCATTAGAAAAATCAGCTAAAGATTTCCAGCTGTGAGTTGGAGGGGAAATTTGTCTTCTTCCCCTGCAGCCAGGGCATAATGCACAGAGCCCAGGGAAGGAGGCAGGTTGCTGCAGGCAGAGCAGTGGAGACCACTGTGCAGTGCTCACAGGGAGAGGTGGTGGTCTCTCAAAGCAGTTGTGAGACAGGAATCTATGTAGACTTTTCCCTGATTTCCATTCTTTCCCTCTTCTGCCTTCATTCTAAACAGTCCTCATCGCAGCCTAGCTCTCCTGCTGCCCCTTCCCCCTCCCAGATGGACCTGGAGCAGCAACAGCACACGCCGCTTTTTGGAACTCCTCCACCTCCTCTTCCGGTTCCCTCGGTCCCAATGAAAGAGTCACCACCAGGCTATGAAGAGGCCGTGAAGCAACAGCCAAAGGCCCAGGTGAGAGCACTTATTCTCTCTGGTTTCCTTGGAGAGCAGATGAAAGGTTGTCATTGTAAACTACCTAGTTTCTTGCTGTGGGCCAGTGATAGGGAATGGAGGTACAACTGCACCTTCCTTGTTGAATTTCCTCTGGAGGATTTGGGGTGGACCCTAAATCACAGATAAAAAGTCCCAAGCCATTCATTGCTGTTGCTGACCGTACTTTCCCAGCCAGTAACAGTCTGGGGAACAAAGGATTCTGGTGCCATGTCATGGTGTGCTCATTCTCACTAGAAAACAGCCCCATCCCTGGAGCAAGGGAGGACAGCCAGCAGCCAAGGATGTTGCTTGAAGGTGTAAGTTCCTCTGGTGAATAGAAAGCTAATCTTGCACTTGCTCTCCCCAGGAGAATGGCTCTTCCAGCCAGCAGATGGACGATCTGTTTGATATCCTCATCGAAAGTGGAGGTAAGGAGAGAAAGCCAGCATTTCCCATATGGGTCTGAGTCAGGGGATTGTAGAGCACCGAGGGACAAGTCTGTCATGGCCCTGCTCTTTTCTCCAGTGACCCTTCCAATGCCTTTAGCACTGGCAGTAGTCATTAAGGCACTGAGGGAGATGTCAGTCAGGCCTTAATATGACTGTGCTTCTTGATGGCTCTGCTGCTTTAGATTCAGACATACTGCTTCTGAGATACTGCACAGAGATGGAATTTCATGGAGGTGGGCTGAAAACTCCCCATAGTGAGGCAAGCACAGGCACAGGATGTTTCCTCATCCCAGCTGGTGGTCAGTGATGGCTTAGTCGAGGGGGTGTCTGTGGGAGGAATCCTTCAGCCAGACTTTTCCTTACCTGCCCTATTTGTTCCCTGTGCAGAGATTTCTGCTGACTTCAAGGATCAGTCGTCCCCAGCTGGCAAAGAACCACCTGTGGCCCCGGCCTGTTCCCCACCGCCCAGCAGCCACCACTCCTCCGAGCTGGCGGTGCTGGTGTCCCTGGGGCAGCCGGTGCCTGTGGGCCGGCTGGAGGACTTCCTGGAGAGCAGCACCGGCCTCCCGCTGCTGACAGCAGGCCACGATGGGCCGGAGCCCCTGTCCCTCATTGATGACCTCCACAGTGAGATGCTGAGCAGCTCGGCCATCCTGGACCACCCGCCTTCACCTATGGACACCTCGGAATTGCACTTTGCTCACGAGCCATCTGGGGGCATAGCCCTGGATCTGGCTGAGGCTAACTTGGACAGCATGGACTGGTTGGAGCTGCCAGGGGGTTCTGTCATGAGCCTGGCTCCCCTGAACACCACGGCTCCCAGCCTCTTTTCCACAGACTTTCTTGATGGACATGATCTGCAGCTGCACTGGGATTCTTGCTTGTAATTCTGTGAGCAGAGACTGAAGGGAATGGGAGTGGGAGGGCACAGGCATGCAGAGGGAAGAGGCCAGTCAACCAAAAAAAAGAAAAAAGAAAAGAGCTCCTAGTATTTGTACTCCTCCCCTAACAGTGTCCTTCCTGCGTGGAGCTGGCAAAGGGCCAGGCCAGGGCAGGGAGGATGGCTGCTGGCGGGGGGAACAAGAGGCAGGAGGAGCTATGGGGCTAGCAGCCTCCTGCCCACTCCTCACAGCCTGGCCCAGCTGGGGTGAGAGCAGAGCCAGCAGCCCCTGTTCCTCCAGGCAGGAGCAATGGCAGCACATTGTTCCCTCACGTGGGACAGAGCGTGACTGGGCCTGAGCTGTTTCCAGAAGCAGCACTCTGCGCCTTCCTGGGATTGGCAGATAAAGGGGGTTGTGCTGCCCCAGCACGGTCGGTCTTAACGGTTGTGGAAGGGGATTTCTACCTCTGGAGCAGGACACAAAGGCAGGAGGGCTGCCTGGGGCCCAGAGCAGCTGCCCTCTGTCTGTCAAGGGAGGGTCTGATCTGCCACAGGGCTGGGAGAGCTGGGCAGAACAGGCACCTTCTCTAAACGTAGCCAAAGGGAACTAGGCCTCCCCACCAACCTGGTAATGTCTAAGCTGGTTTCCCAAATATTGCTGAGCTTGGCAGAGGCCTGCTGGCCAGCCTGCTCACTTCACTCACTTTGGGCTGCAAAACAGTTTTTAAGGTGCTAGAATCAGGTCCTTATATGTTAAAACTGCTGTCAGGCACAGCCCATTACCCCCAGCTCCCACAGCACTTGTGACATCCCCAGGTGAGCAGGGCAGTCAGCCTGGGCAGGGACACTGCGTGTCCTGGGGAGGGGGTGAGGGGCACAGCTGGCAATCAGTGACATATCATGGGGGCCATGTGCAATCTGCCTCCTGCCTTTGCTGTGTTGGTGCTGCACTGTAGCACTGGCCCCAGAGGAAAGCAGCAGTGGGGATGGATGTTGGACCCCGTAGGCGAGGAAGGGGAAGTGGGACTTCAAGAGTGGTGTTGTGTGGTGCAGCACAGGTCGTGGCTCAGTGACTGTGAGGGCCCCTTTCTGGAGAGGAGCTTGAAAGCAAGTATTGGGCAGCTGACCTCTGCTCTTCCCTCTCTGCAGTCCCACAGGGTAAAAGGCAAAAGTAAATGGCTGCTTACTTTGAGCTGGTGCCCTGTGTCCTTGTAGGGCCCCAGGCTGGTGCCTTGGGGGAACTGCAGACTGAGTGGGTGGACAAGCCCCCAGGACCTCAGAGCCATGATGATGCTGTTCCTTGGGCAGGGCTCAGTGGTGGAACACCAGGCCTGTGGCTCGCTCTTGTGCTGTTACTCCTGTTAATTTAGAATTCCCATGTCAGTTGTAACTCACGGCCATACTGAGCAAGTAGGACATGGCTTATGTGGATGTGGCCACCTCGCCACAAGGCTGTCCCTGGCCCTGAGCTGGGTCCAGGCTGCTCGTGCTGAGTGAGGTGGGGGAAGCTGTGGCTTCTGAAGTCACGCAGTCTGAGGTACTGACCTGCTTAGGGAATGAAAGGATCAACTGCCATTCATCTCAGTATCTCCTTGAGGATGCTGTCCCCACCTTTCCCCCACACCAGCCCACAGAGCTTCCTGCTAGGGAGTGGTAGCTGTGAGCCATGTGCTGCTTCCCTGCAACTTTGGTACCTGGCCCTCTTCCCAGGGAGAGGCTGTGCCACAGGGGTGCTGGTACCTCTGCTCCGTGGTGAGGCAGGCGAACAGCAACCCTGCACAATGTGCTCTCCTTCAGCCACTGAACTGGGTGAGGTCATGCCTGTTTGGAGCTGGGAGATACTCCTGCTTTCCTGAGCCCTTTGCTTGTTAACTGCATGGGGAGCCACTTTTTTAATCATTGCAGGGGGAGCCTGCTGGCAGCTTCCTTTCTGTCCCTTCCTCTCTCCTCTGGCCCTGAGCTGTAAGCAAGTTGAGGCCTCTTAACCTGTGTCCCTCAGTGTCCAGGTTGGGAAGGACAACCCCCCCACCCCCCACTTCCCCACAGGCTTTCTATTCCTCAAGCTACAGTGTCACATCCTGAAAATCAGAATAAAAGAGACTGGTGGGCACCCCCTTTATTCTCCTGAGCTCTCCCTGAATTCTCTCCTGGTGCAGCCCAGGTGCTCACTGGGCACTGTTACTTAGCAATCAACTTACAGAGCTTTTACCAGCTCTGCCAGGGCAGCTGCCCAGCTGTGGGGGCAGGAGGGAAGAAACTCCTTAGAAGTTTCTAAGGGGGAAACTGTGGGGGGAGTAGGAGGATCTCCAAAATACTAAGGGGAAAATCTGAGGCTGCCTGTTTGTCAGACTCAAGCAAAATCAGGTTCTTTCAGCCCATAGTTGCAGTAGCTCCCACAAAAATCAGCTGTGTGATTTCTTTTGTACAAGTAATTACAAATCTGCAGCCATTAAATAAAGAAGGAAATTATCACTAAAGTGCAATGAGCTCCTAGAGGAAGGTGGGAGCACTCCAGCTGCAGTCCTGGCCTGACCCAGCCCTGGTTCTTTGCCCTGGGCCAGGCACTCCAGTCATTGGCAGAGAGATGCCAATGCCTGATACCAGTGTAGCCCTTCCCAGAGGTTGCTGGTGAAAGGCTGAGCTCACAGCTGCCCCCTTTTGCTTTCACCTGTCCACCATCAGGTGTGAAACTGTAGGAATTTAGTGACCCCTGACTTTGCCTAACATACTTGCATTGGCTGAAGAGCTTCAAGGAGCCCTCAGGATACAGAACCAAGAGCCTCATGTCCCGAGGAGCTGGGCTGACCTGTGGGAGCACCCCTGCACAAGGGGTTTCTGCCAGGAGAGTGAGTGATAACCCTGTGCCTGTGGGGAGAGGGGAAGGTGGTGCCTCAGCCCCAGAAATGTTAGAAAGTCTTTTCCCCAAGCAGTGCCCAGAGCAGGCTTGCCCAGTTCTCTGCTTTCTTACTATTATTTCTTTGAATAATAGTTCAATAGGTCTTTGTTGGAAGAGGTATTCCCCTGAACATCCATTTTTGCACCCATTGGGAAAAACTTAAGTCTGATGTTCTGCCTCTACCTTGAATGTAATCCTGAATCTTTCTGCTGTAACCACTACTTGTTTGTAATGTGTATTTGACTAGCACGCACTCTCCCTTCCACTATGCAGCCAATGGCGAGGGGTGATCAGCACCATCAGTCAGATGGTGTTGGGGCATCAGATCCAGAGCGAGTATTCAACTGGAAAAGGATAAAAGTGACAAGTTAATGGGGGAGAGAACGGATCTTTAAATTGAATTATTTTTTCAGTTACAAATATTTGAAGAAAAAAAATCCATTTTATTAAAAAAATTCCAAACAGCCACGTTCTCAAAAACTTCTCTGCTATGCTGGTGGGAGGGCTTGGGGCTATTCTGCCTTTTCCAGCTAAGGGTGGGTGATCCCTCTGTATATCTTTCTCAAACCTGAAAAAAGCAGCTTAAGTGGTGGTGGCTCATCCTTCTCAGCTGCAGGGAGTTTTCCCTCAGTGTATGGGAATTACCTACCCTGCAACCAGAAGCAGGTTTTACCAGGATTAACTATTAGTGGACCATAGGTGGTGGTGAGGTGACACTGCCTCTTCCACAGCCACATTCAAAAGGAATTGCCTTCACTGAAAACACTCACTTTCAAATCAGAAGATAAGCAACTTCCACCCTCCCATAAGCTTGGACTTCTAAACACATTTCTCCCAAGGGCCTGTGCCCTGTTCCTGTCCCACTTTGCAGCTCAGCCTACACCTGCTTTTTCCAGAGACACCTGTACAGACAACACTGCTGTCCCCACCACCCAGCCCTGCTTTCTGCTAGCCCCTCTACCTTTCCTACAGGTCCTCCCCCTGCAGTGTCCCTACAACCTTTTCAATATTTCCAGTATTTCTGGCTTTTCTGGGGCTCTGCTGTTGACCTCCTCTTAGGGCTGGTGGTGCAGAGGCAAGGCAGGGCTGCCACTGCTGGCAGCAGAACTGGCTCTGCCCCGGCTGCTGCCTGACCTTGCAGGCTGCTGTGACGCAAGGAGCTCCCTCCGTGCCAGCACAGAAATGGTATTGCCATTGTCAAATGGCAGAAAGGAAAAATTAAACCGAGTCCTGGCCCTGTCAAAAAATAAGACAAAGCCCAGCACTCTCCCAAGATGCAGCTTTTATTTACAAACCCACCAAATAGAGGAAAGTAAGAATCTAGTGTCCTCCCATCAGTAGTTTGTGCTCACAGACAAGCGCTTTCAGTAGAAAGTCACAGACTCCATATCCAGAGCCACCACCACAAAGCAGCAATTCTCCACTCCTGACCCGTGTCCCCGTTGTCACCGCAGGGCAAGGACGAGTTAATCTCCCTGAGCCAGCTCCAACCTAAACCTTGTCCTGAGCTACAACGGTGCCAAAATGTACATGTTCCTGGAGTAAATTTACAGCTTTTTGGTTAACAGTAAAAATCATCTAGAGACTAAAGTAACAGCATGAAACACTCTTGTTTAGGGGAGATGTGCTCCCAGAGGAGACAAGGACCATCCCCTAAGGCTGTTACAGTGGTAACAGGCTGGTAAATTTGGGCAACTCTTGTCAACATCCCACACCAGTGCCAGGGAGGTGGGATGAAACTGATGCCAGTTCCCCCTTCTCAGCTCCAGATCAAAGGAACTTGTCCATGTGTCCCCCAGCAGAGGGGAGCCTTTGGCTGGCACCAGGGAGTATTCTCCCTGCTCCTGTACAGCAGTGAGTCTTTCACCAGCCCAATTCCACGTGCAGCTGCAGTGCCAGCTGTCAATGGCACCAGCTCTCATGGATCAAAGCCACCCCACAAGGGCTGTCTCTTCCCCACAGCTCCAGCCATAGCCACGCTCACACCCCCATGTGACTGCTGGCCCATGGGGCAGTGCAAAATGGCTCCAGCCAGGCTGCCCCCCGGGCACTGCTGTGGAGGCAGGGCTGAGGAAAGCAGATGATAGGGGTGGCAGATATGGAAAGCTGGGAGAGGGCATTTGCTTTTTGTAGCCAGAACACTCTTGTCCCTTTTCAGCATCACCCTCAGCCATCAGCCCCCTCGGGTCTGTAGCTCAGCCTCTCAGCACTGCTCCATCTGTCCCAGGTGGTCTGGCAGCCCCCAGGGGGATTTTGTCACAGATACAAGTGGGTGGGGTGGGGAAGGACAGGGGGTGAGATATGAGGGGGTGGAGGAGAGGAGTGTGCGCCATCGAGAAGGTCCCCAGGCTGGGGCAGGGTGGGGGTCACCCATCTATATCCCAGCTGAAGAGATGGTGCTTCACGAGCATGTCCTGCACACCTTCCTTCAGTGGCTTCTTCTCCTTCTCCTGCAGGATGACACAGAGACCCGGGTCAGTGCACCACACCCAGAAAAGGGGAGGTTGTGTCTGCGGGCAGAGCCCAAGCATGCCGAGGCCTCTGGCACCCAGACAGAGCAGCTTCCTGCACTTCCCACCTGTGCACAGCTGGCACAGGGAGAGGGAACCCTTTGGTTAGGAGAGCGCTGGGGAAAGGGAGCCTGTCACTTCCCTCTGCCCCAGCTGGGCAGGGCAGGCAGCCCCCTCCACAGCCTCTGCAGCTGGCTCCAGAGGACGCAGAGGATGGGCTGAAGCACAAAGCCGGGAGAGGGAGGCAGCAAGTGAAACTCCCGGCTGAGTGAAAGAATAAGAGATACTCACCTCCCTCTTTATTGGCAGCTCCCAGTCCTGGGAGAGGCTGAAAGCAAATTTGCCGAGGACTCTGCAACAAAACCAGAAGAGAGCAATGTTAAAACAGCCCCCCCAGACAATACTCCCAGCCTTTGCCTACAACTCCTGCCCCAGGCATACACTGTCACCCCAGTTTGTCCTGGCATGCCACTAAACTTACAAGGATGAAATTCCTTGTTTGATGGTGTTGAAAAGACAGCAGCAGTCACTCATTCCCTGTTTCCCTCTCCTCACTGAGCTTCGCATCCTCCTAGGCCCAGGAAGAAGGAGCTCGAAGATGTGACTCAAGTGCAGCCCCTACAGAGCTTGGTGCAGCAGCACAGGGACTGCAGACATGCTGGCTGAGGGCTGCATGCTGCTGGAAAAGGCAGACTGCAGGTTCCTCTCCAGAAAGCAGACCCCTGCCTGTAGCACCTCAGAGTTCTGCAGCTCCCTCCCTCTCCCTGGAGCAGGAGAAGTGTCCTGCAGCAGGACTGCAGAGCAGAAGTGCTCTAAGGGGTTGGCATGGGCAGCTCCCTTGCTGGCTGGGAGAAGTAGGATGTAAGACATGAACCAGTCCCACTGTCCTTTGACTATGCCCAGCTGGCACAGCCCCCAGGCTGTGAGAAAGCAGCTGTGGGACATGGCAGCCCAGAGGTGGCAGAAGCCCCCACCCATTCAACAGCAAGCTGAGAACACTACACCTTGAAGTGTGCACACACAGGCCTGCTCTAGCTACAGATGCTCCCACTGGAGCCCGAGGCAACTGGGTGGTGCACACAAGAGCCAGCTCCCACTGAATGGTAGCAGCAACCAGGCTGGAGCAGTCGTGATGGCAAGAGATTTGCCCTCCAGCTCCCTGGGACTTCCCCTGGCTTTGCAGAGTGCAGGAGGGCCAGGAGCATGGACACCCAGAGCCACAGGGATGTGTGTCCTGGGACTGCCTTGTGTGAGCTCAGGCCCTAAAGCTGCTTTCAGCCCCTGATACCACTCCCTCACCTAACCAGGGAGTCAGTGGGTGACTGTCCAGCTGTCTCCCTAGCACATTCCCTGCTCCCTGCTTGGACTTTGAGTGGTTGGCAAAGGACGTGGAGAGCAGCGGGGTTGAAAAGGCAGACTTTCCATCAGAGTATGTGTACAGCAGGAGGTTGCTGGCAAGCAAAGGCTGCCTGCTTGTCACAACAGGTCCCCAGGAGCCAAGCTCTGCTCTTGGATCAAGCAGGCACAGTGCCTCACAATAAACTGTCCAGAGATTTGTTGCTGCCTCAGCACACAGCAGTAAATCTCTGCGGCTGGGATGTCTGGGCAGCTCTCGCTACAACTCACTGGAGAGGGCCCAAACCCAGCCGTAGAGAGGGCCACCTCCTGCAGAGGAGGAGGAAATCTATTCCAGATACTGGCATGGGAATGTGCCATGAGGACACTCACCTCAGCTCACATTTGATCTGCACCCAGCCAGGACTGCGTAGGAATGACCAGGGATGGAACCACTTCTCCACAGTCTGCAGGCTTGAGCATAGCACCTCCAGCCACAAATGCAGCACCTGCTCACTGCAACAATGAGGTAGAGACCTGTTACTCAGCTGCAGCCAGGGAAAGAAACCCCATCCCTCTGGAATAGTCTATTTTCAGCCCAAGTCTTGACCCCCACCCACAACCCTGTTCCCAGTGGGAACAGGATAACCCAGTAAACTTGTGTGAGCCACTCCACACAATAGGAGCTCCTTCCTCCAGCTAGGAATCAGGCCAGCACAATGCACAAGGAACAAGTCTCACTCACTAGCTGCAGTTGAGAGGGGGGGAAAAATGATGCTGTGGCCTAAGATTGAAACTACTGCTGCCCATAAACCCACTGTCCCTCCCCAAGCTCTTTGCACCCAAAATGCTGAGGGTACCAGGGCCAGATGACTCACTTGAGTCCTACACAGATGAGAGAACGAAGCTTCACATCCATCTGTGCATGTGCAGCATCGTGCGTCATGTTCACAGCCTGAACTGCCTGTAAGGGAGGGAAGGTATAGTTACTGCTGGGCAGCCACTTCAGCAACACGGCCAAATGCTGCCCTCCCAGGAGCTCCTGCCCTCACCAGTGCCCCCTGCTAGCACCAGAGGGGCTAAGGGAAGGTCTGGGAGACTCTTGAGCATCTCCCTCCAACAGTGTAAAAGTAGGAGCTGGGCTCTGGCTGGGCTTGGGGCAGCACTCACCCGGTAAAGCAGCTCCTCTGGAGTGAGGACTTTGCCATCTTCATCAAGCCTGTAAAGATCACAGCAGAAACCCAGCTAGCTCCAGTCACCCTGGGCACATGCAGGCCTTTCCTGCTTCATACCCCAATAGCTCTCGTGCTGCTGCTGAGCCCAGAGGTGCTGCTGCAGCCACGAGAGAGCCAGATACAGACCCAGAAGCAAACACAGGAGCCCAGGGGATGGGATAAGAGCCACTGCCAGCCCCAGGTCAGCACAGGCACAGCAGCCTGCTGACACCACAACCACAGGAGGCTGGGGCAGACCATGAGCCTTGCCAAGGTGCAGAGCAGCATCAGCTTGATGAGCACGGAGGAGCAGGGCACAGACCTGTAAGTCTTGCAGAGCACGAGGCGAGAATACACGGAGTCAAAGTCCCGTTCCACTTCCCGGCTTGCAGCCTGGAGGAGC